GAGGGAGCTTTACTCTGTATCTAACCCCGTGCTGTCCCTGTCCCTGGGAGTGTTTGATGGGGGGGGACAGTGTAGAGGGAGCTTTACCCTGTATCTAACCCCGTGCTGTCCCTGGGAGTGTTTGATGGGGGGGGAGTGGGGAGCTTTGTTTAAAAGTGTGTTGGGAGTCTGTTTCTGTCTGGGAACCTCAGTGCTGTCTCTGTCTCTTGCGACTGCAGGATCACACTGGGGAATCAGTTGGATGGGATCCACCTGTTGGATCCTGACGTTGTGGCGCGTTTTAAGAAAGGTTATCCCAATGGAGTCATCACCAAAGTCAAGAATCTGTGAGGGTGCGGATTGGCGACGGAGGGTTTGAGCTGAGTCCCCGCAGCCCCCACCCCCCGCCCCGTGTCGCTGAGGCTCTCCCTTGTTGTAGTGAGCGGGTTCTGTGTAAATATGCTGTGACTGTTACAGCGCAGTGCTGGCTGGCTCTCTGCGCTCATGGTCCAAGGAGCACTGACCTTCTGAATAAAGCTGAGTGAGTTACCACCTCTCTGTCTGTTTCTTCATTTCAACCGGGGCTGACCCTCCGACAGCGCGGTGCTCCCTCCGCGCTGACCCTCCCTCAGCGCTGACCTTCTGATAGCAGGAGTGCCTATGCTCAGAGTCACTGCAGTAATGTTTTTGGATACCGTTCGATCCAGGCTGAAACCTCCTTACATGTTGAAACAGAAACCGAGTGCGTATAAAAAAAGATGCTTTATTTTTCTTCGGATCAGCCACATAATTCTTCATAAACAGGAGGACAGTAACGTTTTCAGTCTTGATTATACAAGGAGAGACACAACAGATACTCACAAATTGAAAACAAAATTCAGACACCAGTATCTTCACTCAAATTTAGGAACGGAGCACCGCACTGTCGGAGGGTCAGCGCTGAGGGAGGGGGCACTGTCGGAGGGTCAGCGCTGAAGGACTGCACTGTCTTTCTGTTGAAATTAGATGCGTACCCATCCCCTGCCCTGGGAGATATATGGACGTTCCCCATCATCCCCGGGGAGGGGGAGCTCGGATTTATTGCTGAGTGGGGGGAACCTGAAAATCTAAGCTGACATGGTTTT